CCCCTCAAGCAACTGGTCTTGATGGTGGCACTTCAAGGGTTTGAACCATATGGCTGCCACAGCCACTTCCAATCTGAATTGTTTGATGGTTTTCTTACCATCCCCAACAAAACATCAGAACAAAACCAACAACAAAGAACACACTGAAACACTGAATTTCAGTTCTGGATGATGTAGAAAACTCAATTGCATTTTCTAGACCAAATGAAACCAAACTTGTTGTGTAATAGGACAAAGCTACTCCTAATATTTAGAACAACAGATTCCCTTTGTATCCTCCTAACAGGCTCTCTTTTACTTAAGATGCTTGCATCCAAGTCTGTCTGATTATCAAACATTTTAGTTAAAAGAGAAAAACAAAACAAAAACTTGCCGAGTTGACATATGTCTAGAAATTAAATTCTCAAAAAATAGTCTGAGAACATTTCAAAAATTGTTTTGAAGAAAATAAATATACTAGCAAGTCTAATTTACATCCTTTTGTAACTAAACTGGCAATTATTTGTGCAAAATCCAACAGTGTACAAACAACAAAAAACATCAGAGACTGAACAGATTTCAAATCTGCAATGTTGCCACTGGATCGTATCTAGGCAGCTGTCATTTATACATCAGCAAATGTTTCACTGTATAGGTAAAGCTGTGATGTGTAAGCTAACAAATCATTAGCTACAACTGGTTTCAAGGAATTTGAACCAGCAATGGATGTATCACTGATAAGTACTAAATACTGCAGTTTATCAAGAGATCAAAGCTTACAGCTACAGCAATTTATTTTGTTGGTTCAGATTTAGCTTTTCATTGTTTTACATGGTGTTCAGTGTACCAGGCTGGGCATCACTAAGCTAGGTGTTGTGCAAGAGATAAAAAGAATTACTGATTCCATAAAAACAATCAAGTCATACCAGCAATTGCAGTGCAAAGCATAAAACAAGTAATCCTCTGTAACAAAAGCAAGAGCTATGTCCCACAATCAGAAGCTAATTCTTTGGACATGAAAGCAATTATGAAACTGGTAAGAATTTTCTGCATATCAAAAAAAATCAGAGAATTATCATAGAGGAAAAAACTCTGAAGCTCATCACAATAGCTATGGAGCTATTTAAACGTCTCTTAAGAGTTATGTCCTCTTAGAAAGTTTACAAAGTATTCAGCCAATCCAAATATCAGGTACCAGCTAACAGAAGCACTTAGTGAGATGTATCCTTAATTAATGTGCTTATCTAAGAAATGTATTGATATAATTAATAACAGAAGCAGAGACCGACAATAGCTGCTGTCTGCATGCCAATAAAGTTTTGTTTAAAGACAAAAGCAAAATACAGTACTTGAATCTGCAGCTGCTACACTTAACAAACAAAAATTTGGGGATTGGGTTCTCTATTTCCTTCATGTTTTTGCTGGCTTTGCGGGGAGACTGTTGTTTGTTGGTTTTGTTTTAATTAAAGGACTAACATTTTACAGCATACTCTTATTTCTCAAAGCAGCACAACACAGCATCCATTTTGAAATAGCCTCAGATTGAACTAGAGGACATCTAGAAATGAAAACCAAAACCATAAAACCACACACTATACCACAGCTCCATTTTGTTAAGTACAAGAGCAAGAATTTCTGTCTGGTGGGTAATTCCGCTTTAATACAAATCAGAATTAAAATCTTTAAAGCAGGTTCAATAATGGTTGGCAGAACAGACTCAGCTCTTATTGTGCCTTTGCTTACTCTCCTAGCAAAATCAACATGGACAACACTTATTTTGCCCTACACTAGGTCTTGTGAGAACTCGTATCAGAAAAGGTAAGTTCTAGTTCCTGGGTATCACTGCTGTGTTATTCACAGCTCAGAACTCTTAGGTACCATCATTTATTTTACCCATCCAAAATTAAAGATGAAAGTTACAATTACTTTGTTTTTAAACACTTTTTTATGCAACCATCTCACCTTTTTTTAAATGCCATCTAGTAAAGAATTTCAAAGGTCTTTTCTTCTTTAATGAGGCATTAAAATACAGTCACACGACAAAAAAGCAACTCTACTAAGTCTCTTAAACCCCTGGACTTACATTATCAGCTTTTATGTGCCTGTCAACACTCAACAGTAAGAAGCAATGGTTTGCTCTTTGCCTCGAATTTAAACTTTCCTGCTGAGAGCTTTAACTCCTTACAAACTGTCAAAGCTTTGACACTTCAGCAGAAAGTAAATCTACAACATGATGCAATGGCCAGGTGTAGTCTCAACCAGCCACTAGCCACTAATTTACTAGTGGCCATTTAATTCACCTCAAAAAGCAATAAACTAGAAATATTTCCCATCCCCCTATGTACTCACACTGCTTGCACATCAGCCCTTTTAAATGGGTAACAGTTCTGTCAAAGAACCAGGTACAGTTAACTTGCCACTTTAAAGAAATGAAACATTTAAAACTGTAGAGATGTCAACATACAGCTAAAATGCAAATCAATTTCCAACCCAGAAACTAAAGTAAGAGCGCAACATTTTTCAAGAAAAGTAAGTGCAAAGTTTTAAATTGGAACTTCTTTACCCAGAACATTTCTCTGAATATCTACAGCCTGGATCTCACATTCAATGTAAAAGTTCATTGGCATAAAGCTTAATTCCTTTAATTCCATTAATTCCTTTAACAAAGATGTCAAGCCAAGTGCACCTGTGAAAGAGTAAGAGTTAGATGGATTTGCATGGTATAAAATGTGAAATTCACTGCTAGGAACTATTCTGCTTGGTATAAGCTAAAATATTTATATCATTATTTTAGTGTACAGAAAAAAAATGACTGCACACATGAGCCATGCTGTTTCTTAACATCAATAAAATGAGACAGAGACTTAAAATGAGAGCCTTGAGATAATATACCTAACAGCAGTATAATGAAAAATTATCCTTTCCCTATTCTTCTGTTCCTTTCACACTGTAATTCCACAGTATACAAAACCCCTATTTAAGTCTCCTAACCTTGATAAGGACTTGATACTACTCTCATTCAAGTGAATGGAAAAAGATCTTATAATTAGCCTCAAAGATGCATGATGGAGGTATTGAGTGGCAAAGTTACAGGATAGTATTTTAATAATGTATTTATGAAATATTAGAGTTTTTTCATAATAGCAGGAAAATAAAGCTCCTTTTTTCTCCTCGCGATATAAAATAAGGAACGAACCTTGTCTAAAGGTCAACCATTTCTGCTGAGAAGGCACAACACTGAGACTGATCTTCCATCCTCCCCAGCCCAGGCATTTACTGGGGTGGTAGCCACAAGGTACTACACAGAAGTTACAAATACATCTACGGTTTCAAAAGGGAAGATGAAGGAATTAAACAAAAACTATCTGAGGTTCTGCCAATGTTGGCAAGTCTCCTCTTTTAAATACAGTCTGGCATGAGATTTTCTCTCATCACTAGAAGGACTTCAATGGACTTCAAATACCAAATAAATCCTTTGACTCACTGTGTCAAACCCCAAGGGAAGCATTTGACAGCAGGAAAAATAGGAACAAGAATGCCAAGAGTTAAAAAGTTAAGTCGGAGTGATTCAGCATTCAGATCAAACGAATACAGTTCCTCCTAATTATTAATGAGTGCTCCAAGCAACCAGGGGCTCTGTCACAGACAAGAAACTGCACATCACAGGCATTCCAGGAACTCTGGTCTGCCTTCACTGGAACAAAACCCTAGTAAAATATGCATTCCCTCCTGTTTTAAAAGCATGGCACTTCTCACTGCTTCTCTGTCCATATACATACACAAAAATGTTAGGTACAAAATACTTCCTTTATCAAAGTTATGATCTGCAGAATTTTCTTCTGAAAATCCTTTAGCATCTGTAGTAACTTCTGAAATACTGCAAACAAAAAGCACATCTTTCACACCCTCAACACACTACCAAAATAATAAAAAATAAAAGAGACAAACAAGAGACAGCAACTCTTCTTACCAGCCACAACTTCAAATACAGATTTTTTGAGATGGTAGAAAGAATACAATGATGTTTCAAGCAATGGTTACAGAATCCTGTTAGTACAAATGAAAAGAGAAGGGCTTTTTTTAACTGAGCATAAGACGAGTGGGAAATACTATTAAAATGTAACGGATGTGTGAACCATATATTTCGTAAAGACAGAAGGGCCAATATAGTTGAATTTCCCATTTACTCAGAACTGTTTAACAACCAAACAATAAAGCTTGATATATATGAATAAACATGTCAAAATGTAGCAGATTAGAAATAGTAATTTTAGCCAGTGTAGGTACTCAGCAAAAAAAAAATTCCCTGTACTTTTTCAAGTGCAAGCTCAGTATCAGAAATTAGTCCAAACTGATAAATTCTGAATCCTTCTTTCAGACTGAATGGCCCTTATCATTAGGCAGGTGGGAGATAGTCCTGCAGATATCAAAATCTAGCTCTAGAATATCTAGAAAGAAACAGTCCTCTTAATCAAGTTTTAAACTGGCCTGAGTGTATCTCATTATCAGTGCAAACATCACACTTCCAATGCACAGCTGAATTTTACAGGGGGAGGGACTGGCAGAGGGCATGCAATAATGAATTCATTACTGTAAAATCTCACAGAATACAGTTTTAAGCCTTAGAAGTCAGCCAGCTTAAAATATAGCCAACTTAAACAAAAAATAATTCAGGGTAATGATTTCAGACCCAACATTTACCCAGGTCTTCTGGCAACTTCCTTGCAGTTTTACAATAATTTCCTATAGTCACCTATCACTGCTGGTCTGGACCTGTACAAGCATGTTGGGGAAGAGAAAAAGAGAAGTGACCAATCCTCCAGAGAAAACAATGATGATGACAATGACCTTGGCTTCATACTGTGCACGCATAAATGGTGAAAATAGTACAGGCATAAAGTTGCTTGGCATTAGTGTAGTTCCACTACCAATCACTGTCTCCTACAGTAACAGAAGGTGAAACAGAGTTTGGCATAGGTATGGATTTTTACATCAAGAATGCACATTTAAGAATGTCTTACCAAAAGTAACTTCTCCTTTACCAGTCTTGTCAAACAGCTGAAAGGCTACTATGAACAATGCATCTGGAGCACACAGGACTGATTCAAATGCCACAAACTCTTGAAAGGATATCAACCTAAGGGAAGAAGGAAAATACAATAGCTATGAAACCAACTTGCTCACAAAAAACTGAAATACGATATAATATTGATTATACAAAAGAAATAAGACATAATAAAAATATGTTCAAAATATATTCAGTAGGGATTAAAATTTATCCTAAAATGCCCTATCCCCACTGCCCTCAGGAAGCCTTAATATCACTAAACGGAAATGTCTGTTGAACAAGGCATTATTCCTCTCAGCAAGTCACAACACAACATAAAATAAGCAAAACACTCAGCATGGCTACTCACCTCAGCTTTAATGCCTAACTGAACTGCCCTCTGGGGGAGCCTACCTCCATCCAATGGCAAGACAGAGCCAATAAACACAAGAGTAACTTCCCTCAAGACTCAGTACTTAGCACTTTTGGAAAGCAAATCCATTCAAGATCTACATGCTGCCACTCACTTCAGAAGGAACTGATCAGAATATGTTATCTGTTTGCTAGCAACTTATTAGTCATCCATCACAGCCCTCCAGTCCTGCATGTTGAGTCACAAATCTCAATCAGTAGTCTGCATGTTCTTTCTCTGCCCAAAAGCAGTTTATTCAAATTTATCATTACAGCCTGGTTCCTAATGTACTAGCACAGTAGTAGGGCATAGATAAAAGCAGGGTTGTCCTTCCAGAAGTTAGTTCATAAGCAGAAATACATAATTAGACAACATGACATTGTTTCCAGGAGTAGGTTTGATAACAGCAAAGACCTTGAACATTCTAATTTCTCTGTGTCACACCCAGGAGTTCAAATGGAGATCAAACTCCCATTCTTAGAGAGGCAAAGGCAAACTATTCTTCTTTTTCCTGCTTCTTTAATGTCTAGGCTGTAGAGTTTAAAATCATGTTCAAATATGTGGTGGCAGGGCCTGCTAGCAGCCTGGGATAGTTAAGACTGCTGCCTCTCAGGCTGCTTTATGTCAGTGTAGCAGGCACGTAGCTTTAATGGGTTCATGTGGCAGCAGCTGGTGAACAAGGATTATTTCTGAAAAGCACAAAATTCAGTATATCCAATGTCAAGAAACACACACAAACCCAGGGGATTTTTAATGGAAACTAACTATATCCTTAGGACTTTGATGCAAAGGACTTTGACACTGAAGCCAGTTCAATGAAAACTTTTACTCAGTATGCAGTAACAGTGAAGAATTAACAGTTTGAATAAGTTGGAAAAGATATTTTTTCCATCAAGTTATGATGACCCATGACTATACAGCAATTTTCAGTCACCTGTTTTACGGGAATCAGAGAATATGCTGAGTTGAAAGGGCCCCATCAGGATGATGGAGTCCAACTCCTGGCCCTGCACAGGGCCATCCCCAAGAACCACACCATGTACCCGAGTCCTTCCTGAACTCAGACAGGCTTGGTCTGTAACCACTTCCCTGGGAAGCCTGTTCCAGTACTCAACCACACCCTCAGTGAAAAGCCTTTTCTTTATATCGAACCTAAACCTCCTTGAACTCAGCTTCATGCTGTTGGCTTGAATTCTGACAGTGAAGGGTTTAGTACTTGCCCCTCCTCTTCCCTTGTGAAGAAGTTGAAACCACAATGAGGTCTCCCTTCAGTCTCCTCCAGACTGAACAGACCAAGTGACCTCAGCCACTGCTCATATAGCTTCCCCTCAAGGCCCTTCACCATCTTTGCTGCCCTCCTTTGGACACTCTCTAACAGCTTAGTGTCTTTTTTATACTGTGACACCCAAAGCTGCACACATTATCCGAGGAGAGGCCACCCCAGCTCAGAGCAGAGTGGGACAATCCCCTCCCTTGCCTGGCTGGTGATGCTGTGCCTGATGCCCCCAGGACACAGGTGGCCCTCCTGGCTGCCAGGGCACTGCTGAGTCATATTTAACTTCCTGTCAACCAGGACTCCCACGTCCCTTTCCACAGTGATGCTTGCCAGCCTCTCATTCCCCAGTCTGGCTGTACATCCAGGGTTGTCCCATCCCAGGTGCAGAATGTGGCACTTTCTCTTGTTAAACTTCATACAGTTGGTGATTGCCCATCTCCCTGGTTTGTTGAGGTGTCTCTGCAGGGCCCCTCTGCCCTTGAGGATGTCAGCAGCTGGCAAACTTACTTAGTATCCCTATGAGTCCTGCATCAAGGTGACTTATGAAGATATTGAAGAGCACAAAACCGAGGATGGAGCCTACAGAACCCCCATAGTGACAGGTTGCCAGCATGATGTCACCCCATTCACTGTAACCCTTTGTGCCTGACCTGTAGGCCAGTCACTCACTCATCATGTAACCAGGCTAGTTCAGTGTGCTGGACATTATGAGAGACAATATTCATAAGCTTTGCTGAAGTCTTAACAGAGTACATCTACTGGCTTTCCTAGATCAACACTTGAAGTGTGCTTGCTGCACATCAGCAGCCAAACATTCACAGGGTAACAAGCTGACTTCCATGAGGAAAATAGAAACATGAGAAGATTAATAAAAGAGGACATTTTTTTAAACAAGCACAGCACAGAGAAGGCCTAAAAGCTGTCTTATACTACCTCCCTCGATATACCTGCAATAAATAAAAGTAAATAAAATGTAGAGTATGAAATGGTCTAACAAATAATTAACTCTGGGAGCTTGCCACCATAAATTAAAACATAGTGCAAGAAGTAAATAAAAAGAGGAGTCCTCGGGTATTCTTAAGATTAAACTCAAAATTAATGATGTCAGCAAACATGTAAGAATGCCTTAAGCTTTACTGGCAAAGAAGTCTGTGCCTTGTTACATATGCACATGTTAGCACACGAGCAATCCATCAGTCCTTTAAACGCCTTGGGAGCTCTCAGTACACCCCACTGTTAAACACAGACTACCCAAATACTCAGTCATTTAAAGGAAGAAAACTTCCATCCCTCCTAAGCCAAAATACATTTTTTCAAGAGTAACACTTCCTTCAATTTTAAACCAGTATATCACAACCTACTCTGTTTTGTATTTATGCATATTTACTGTTACAATGTGATTTACTGGCTATAAAAAGCTATTATTATTTATTATTATTGGCTACATACCTGACAGAACAGTAAACAGATCCAAAGCACTGAGTTCTGTTCTAAAGATTATAATACATGCACACAGAAAAAACAAAAAGGACAGCAGGTGATAAGACTCTAGAATAGGATTGTTTGGAATTATAAATGTAAAATCTCTGCCAGCACCATTTTGGTAAAGCTGGTTTTTGTGTGAAACAACCTGCACATGTCCTTACCAACAGATCACAAAACAGTGATTACAGCACAGAAAAGAATACAGCACCTATCCCAGCAGAATCCCAGCACCATGTTAAGAACACATGCTATGTTACTAGGCCTGGGTTTGATTAAAACTCCATGTATTAATACTGTTACAAGATTTTATACTAGTAGAAGCATTTTTTTTCAACACTTGGAAGCAATAATCCCCCTAATAAGTCACAGATAAATGCTTAAAATACCCCTATATCCATTTTTTAAAAGCAATTACTCATAGAACTCGGAAGATTAAAAGTGTACAAATTGTGTATTTCTAGCCAGACTGTTAAAGAAGAGACATTAATATCTGCTGTGCCAGCTGAATTCAAATTAACCCAATTTTTACATGTTAATTAAACCAGCTATTTTCTTCTTATTGTATTTTTGCTCCCTAAGTAGACTAGCCTGCTAGTGATTCCCAACAGATCTATTCTAACGACGACGTATTCATTTACTTCTATTATGACCATACAATACAGTAACTGAGCAGTAATTTTTCAGTCAATTACACGTGTGATTCTTAATGCTTAAAGAAGCTGAAAAAATGTGTACTACATAGCCATATGCTCACTTCTCTATACTGCACAAGGGTAGTTGCCTGGGTAACACGTTTTCTCTCTGGTTTAGCATCACCCTTTTGGGTTTAGCATAACCCTTCAGTGAATATCATTAGGTGTCATTAAACAGCACATGTTAACATGGACTTCAATATACTACTTAGGAGTTATTTCATATACCTAAACAAGTAGTCATTTATGTTACAAAAGCAGAGAAAAACCTAGTGATTTTAACAGCACAACAAAAGGAAGCTGAAATGCGTACAAAATTTTATTTCAGTTTTGAAGATAATCCACCCAGGTAAGTCAAAGCCTTCCTTCACCTTCACATCCTCATTATGAGTGCCACTACTGCACAATTTATTCAGGAAGGCTCAAATCTTGGTATTTTAAAAGCATCCACATACAAGACCACCAATCTAAACATAACAACAGAGTATGGTGCAGAAAAAACATTATTTACTACTATCTCCTGTCTTCCATGCTCACACCCATGGTATCTGGACACCCCATAGACACAACACATTCCCACCAGAGAAAGTCTGCACGTAGCCATGTAAAGAAAAAAAGCCACTTGCTTTTTATTACCTGCTGTAATAATACATACAAATGCAATGTTGAAGAGGTTTTCTTCAGAAATCAATGCAGATGTTTTTACTGTATCAGCAATTTAAACATGGTAACATAATGGGACACAAATTGAAGCTACATCTATTATTTTACGCTGCAAGCTAGGTAAACTAAGTATAGTGTAAATTGGTGCATTAGAGGATAAATTTATATCCAATAATAATGGAAAATGCTGGCATTTCCAAGTGTTATTTTTGAATACTTTGTCCTTTCTAAAAATAAAGCATATGGTATTTCTTAGTAAAGTGTTAGTTATTACAGTCCAAACAGAGACGTGCAGTAAATACCTATTTTGTTAGGCAGATGCTTAAAACTACAACAGAAATCTGAGAAATTATATTACAGTAGGCAGGATGGAAAATGCCTGGCCTATTGCTGATAGGCCTTTAGAAAGCTACTGTATTTTGGGGAAATTTCTGATCAAGCTGAGGCTAAATGAAGCCTTTTTTTTTTTTTTTTTTTTAAATAAGATTAGGAGTGAGAGGCTTAAGGCCAGGAATCAGGCTCCTCAAACTGTTTCATATGAACAACAACCATGCAATATAACACTTACTAAAATTTATGTTATTACCAGTTGACTACTTTGAAAAGTTTGTCTGGCAAAGAATGTATTTCCTTTTCTTAGAGGAAACCTTACAAACATGCCTCCATAACAGAACAGGAGAAAAGCCCACCATCAAATAAACATCTGCCCTGGCTTAAAATGGAGGCAAAACTTGCTCCCATGGCAACAGATATTCACTGAACAACAGAGTATGCCTTAAGAGGTCTCATACCTTTGTCACAACAACACTAGCTCATGTAGACCCTCAAATCCTTAATCTCTAGCAATGCAGGAACGGGGCTAGACTTACATAAGATTTTGTCTACAGTAATCACTGTGAGATTGTACCTAAGGGCTACAGTTATTTTCATTTCACACTCAGAACTTCTTCAACTCTTGGGTAAGAAACTCTTTGCTCCTCTATGCGTCCTGCTCATGAGTCTGAAGTTCTTGTGCTGCCTGCCTTTCACCTGTGTTTTAACCAGTTAAGTATTTCACACTGATTACACTTGGTACATATACCTAACTTGTCACCAAAATCAGAAAGAATTAAAAGGCATTCTAAACAGTGCTAGGAACAGCCCTGGTGGAGGCTCAGAGCCTTTTAGTGACAAGTGGTCATGCTCAACAGTCATGAACAACAGCTGCTTCTTCAGCGCAAAAGACGGATCCAAGACAATGGATAAATGCTTCTGGAAATAGCCTAGCAGTATTTTCAGCACTGCACTACTTTAAGTCACTAACACTGTAACAAAATTAACTTGTCATTGCTCTTGCAAGACACCTTCTACTTTATAATACAAATAATGCAAAATTACTGAACAGACTCTCATGACCTTAACCACATGTAAGTCCCTAAACACTGACAAGCCTATTAAAAATGAACACCAACAAAAGCTGGTTTGTGCTTCACTTTAAAACTGGGAGCTCTGGACTGCCAAGTTGGCAACATTCAATAGGAGAAGACCAATGGTCTTGTTGCTGTCCTTAGGAGATTTCATGACAGGAACCAAAAAGCAGCTGACCCTTGCCTCCAACGATTACTTGGCAAATTACTTTAAACACCAGGAGAACAAAGTACAAACACTGAGCAACATGGCAAAAAATGTTACAATGCCACATTAGGGAGATAGATGCAAATCACTTTCCAAACTTTCACCATTCTTTCATGTATTAGCTAAACAGGAAGACAGCCTGAAGACCAGAAGAGATTCTCGAAAGACACGTTACGAACTGTCACTGCACAGTGTGATTACAGAAACAATCCTTACCCACGGCAGAAAGCAGCAATTAGAAGCCTCAATATTACACCGCAAAACTCTTACAAGATCACGCCAAGTTACGAAATCCCAACTTGTCAACAAGTTCACATAGGCTACAGTTTTACATTTTGCTCTTCCTGACACCAGCTTCTGTGAGGGAGATCCAAATCACAAGGTATGGATTATGTTCTCAATCTTCTTATTACAAAACGGATTTGAAGCCATGTAATTTGGAAAATGCTGTTTTTGCAGGCATCAAACCAAGAGAAGAAATCTGAGAAATGTTTAACATTTTCAGTCAAACACTGTCTGAAGCTATGGCTTTCTTGATGCCATCAATGTTACCAACATAACCTTTTACAGAATTCTTTTACTGGGGCAGCAATCATCACATTAACTCATCTGCAAGGTTCAAGGTGCTCAGCTGCCAAATACATGAGACTGGCTGAGCAGAAAAGAGAGCACAGAAAGGACTGTAAAACTTCTCAGTTATGCCTGCATCTGTTCCCTAAGGAGACTGCATTCTCTAGTCATGCTTTGTTTATCTCACATTTTACTCTCTGCAACCACTGATATGAGTCATGCCTGAAGTTTTCTGGTTTCTAAAAATGCCACAACTACACACTTTAAGTCCATAGCTAATTATTCTCAAGTTTCTCTAAAGATACTTTAAAGGGAGGGTTCAACAATTCATATGGGTGAATTTGGTACTTGCCTGGGCAAGTACCAAAAGCAAATGCTAGGATTTCATTAAACTAGGGGGAAGGAAGATGGAAGGGCAGCTAATCTTGCCTATTGGCAAAGTCGGCCTTTCAAATGCAAACCATGTGCAACCAACTTCACTGCTGTCTTCCCAAGATTGCAGAGTGGCTCCCGAAATACCTCAGGCGCTCCTCCTCTCTCTTGAAGGAAAAACACAGCCCCTCTTGAAGGAAAAACACAGCGGCAAAAACCTTTAACAGTGCCATGGCAAAACAAAGCAGGGACACTTTTTTCTAGAATCTCTTCCTACACCATCTAAACTTATTTTGGATTTCTATTTGAATGTGTTTGTGACAAATACATAAAGTAAACAGAGACAGAAAGACTCAGGGAAGGAAAGAAAAGCAGGACCTAGGGGAGCCAGCCAACAAACATGAAAGGTTCCATGAATTAAAAATACATAGTAGACAGAAAATTGTTTGCACCACTAAATGTTAAGTGCAGTTGAAAACAATGTTTCTACTCTTTTCACTTAAAATATACTGTATTCCTTTATGGATCTGCAGGGGAAAACAATACAAAACAACCCCCCACCCCTCAAGGATCAGACTGTTTGAAAAAATTATTTTGTATTTTTTAAATGAATAACAGAAAAAGAAAAAAATTAAACCAATCAATTACAAATTCCCCCCACCCCCCAAACAAAAACCACAAAAAACCACTTACCCATCTTTTGTCTGATCCACCACACCTGCAAGGAGCTGTACAGTGCTTGCATTAGGCAAACCATCTCCAATTATCTTCAAGTACCGTGTGACAAAGTCATTAGGAGACATGAAGAATTCTCCGTTCTTCTCCACACTTGCATACTGTTAAATGAATACAATAGTTAGTGGTTCAACACATCCTTCTCCAAGCATTTATTACCACCACCCATAGTTTCCAATCATGAGCAGGCCTCTGTTACAGCAGATGACAGCTCTGCTCCAGTGAACCTATATACTAGACCCAAACAGGAAAGAGTAAGAGGCGAGTACTTAAGCAGCTGAAGGCTCAGTTACCCAGGCTACCAATGGCAGACATACAATTTTTGGATTATGATGCCAACAATTTCTCCATAGTAGTTTAGTAATGCTCCATAGCACCAAATATGTTTCTGAATTAGAAGCACAAGTACATTTGCAAGCACATATGTAGCATCTCAGGCCCACTGAAACTCTGACAGCTGTAGGATACTGCAGCATATCTTATTTATGTGAAATGGCTCCTCTCTTAGCCATTCTACTTCAGGATGAGAAGGCAGGATTGGTGACACCCGCAAAATGCCAGTGGAGCAAATGATCCCGCAGGAATGTCCACCTGGGGGTGCTGTTTTGAAGAACTCTACTGCATCACCTCCAGCCATGGAGGTTTCTCCTTAAGAAAAGGAGAAGCTACAGATACTTCTCCTTGGCTGAAGCGCTGAAAGGAGGTCAACGAATATCATTTGCAGAAAAATGTTAACAGCAAAACACGAACTTTGACAGTTCGCCACACTGCAGAAATAAGAAAAGAATTCTAACACCTGCCATACATTATCCCTGCTTTACACAAGAGTTACTAGCATACTACTTCAGAAAACAGCTATTTACAGACCCAAGCATATAGGCCTCCAGTAATACGTTACAAATAAAAGCAATATTAACATTTTTGAAGATAATATCTAAATAAATAAATACAGTTCCCTTTGTTAACACCTCATTGCTAGGTCATCCCTCAAATTTTAAAGTCCTCATTTTCTGAAGAAGGTCAAAATTGAAATCAACCCTGAAGACTGTATTTTAAGAAAAGAAAAATGATAATGACAATCATTAAGAGGAAAAGAAATCCCAGGCAAGATTTGTAAAACCATGTGTTAGCTTTAAGGGAAACAGGTCTATCTTGGGATAACAAATGTGCACTGAGAACAGAAAAGAACCGCTAATTTCTCTTTTTTAATTTTTTTAAGGCAAGGTAGGATGATAAACTATCATTGCATCTCCCCATAGAGCATTATCTACCCCCAAGTAATAAATAAATTAGATGCCTATTGCTATTTTGTAGTGTACTTCACACATTTTATTTCATGTTCCTACGGCTCTGCTAAGGGACCAAAACTGCCAGTTTTCATTTCATATTGGTGCCTGCAGCGTACCGTTATACCTGCTGTAGGCATATAACTCTCAGAGGGATGCCAAAGTGTTACAGTAAGTAGATTATTTTCTTCTAGTGCTATAGAAATACCATTTTCAGGTACAGCAATATCTTCAAAAACAAGGCTTCAGAGAAGCAAGCCAAATGAAACATAACTCGCTTTGGCATCTATATATTGGTTAGTGCTAAAGGATTCCTGTTTCAATAACACATGCTGTCTAGCTGCTAAACTGCAAGGAATTTTGAATTGTATACTTTTATAAGAACTAACAGATCAATTGATTTCAATGTAATCATTTGCAGAAAGACAGAATCCTTCAGAATCCCAGTCTCAGAAACTTTTAACACAGCTGCTATTGAGAAACAAATCAAATAAGTCAGACAGCCTATGCTTCTACATTTCTTTTTTCATCCAGGCTAACCCCCTGCTAGGGCACTCAATAACAGAAAACAGCACAAGGTTTCAGTGTCTCCCTGTTTCTTGTCATTGTGATTTACTCAAGTGTATTTGAAATCCAATCACGTACTCTATACTACATATAGAAAATGACCTTGAAAAATGTCAGCTTGATCACTTTGACTAAAATCTAATCTCTTAGGGGTTATGTTAGAAGACTTGGAAGAAGTACTCTTGGAAATTATCATAATAAAAAGAAAAACATCAATTCCATTTGTTTTGGAGGAGCAACATTTAAAGATTGGTTCTTTACAATTTTATTTCCCTCCCCCCTTTGACAATTATACCCACAGAGAATTTGATATTATACATAGTACTTAATGGCTTCTTGGTAACTTATTTATACACATTTTATATAGTCAAGCAATAACAAGTTTAACCCCATTTTAAGTAAGATTTGCAAACATTCTATTGGGGATTTGACAAACTAAATATGCTAAAAGTTTACTGCAATCCACTGCATTTAAACTGATAATTCACATTTATTTCTACACTGTGGGTAACATTCCTAAACAGCAATCATATTTTTTAATTCTTAGTTGAAGTAGGAAAGAATAGTTGTCAAATTATTTTGTAAGTGAACATTCCACAATCTGCAGAAGCAACTGTATTGGCTTCACCACTTAAAATAGTCTGGAGAAGCTTAATTAACACTCTGGGCATCACTCATCTGTAGACCATGAAACAACATAGCATATTTACTCATCATTTTTCCTTCTTGGGAGTAAGCAGCATGACAATCCTGTATTACACTGAACAAAACATTTAGCTCATACTTCATTACTGGGATCCCTTCTGTTTAGTGGAAGGAAAAGCAAAGCAGGAAGAAAAATAAGTCAGGGGTGGCATTTAGCATGTTAAACTACAACCCATTCATTCCACTAAATCAGAAGGTTGAGGGAGCTACCACCTTCAGATATGGAAGGGAGATGAATATCCATGGGCAGGTAGGAAACTATTTTCACTCTGTTCTCAGCAAACAACTAATCAACTTCCCCACTCTCCAGTTGAGGATTACCTCATAGCTGAGAAGGAACTGGGCTTCTCTCTAGAGTGTTTATTTCCTTCCCAATGCTACTATCTTCTCAGGTCAGTGGTCTACTCCCTGTCTGCATTTTCTGCTGCTGTGCTCCTGCTCGTCAAGTATGTTCCTCTGTAAACCACATAACTCCTTCTTTTGCAAGAGTCTTTTTGCTCTCCTGATAGATACAAGTTCCAGGACTTAAGAAGTTAAATCCTGACTTTTTCAACTGAAAATCTCATTTCAGAGCTATAAATACTGACAGTATATAATAAAACTATAAATACAGGCAATATACATTGTGACACCTACACATATTGCTAATAATAGCTCACAAGGGACAATGGAAAAAATACCAAAAACTACATGGAGAGTGGGGCATGATGCTGGAAAGCAAAGATGGAGGGAAGAAACTGGAAAGGTATGAGCTGTCTCAAGCCTTCAACACCTCTACAGAAATAATTCAGACACAACAGCTCCCTAATAGCACTGTGGCATCTTACCTCATACTTATTCTTCAGAACCACTAATTTTTTTACTCTTTTTTTTTTATACCAGAATACCAAACTTACCCAGATAGTGGACTAATGAATCTTAGGAAGGTTAGACATAGTTATTTAAATTTAGGAAATGGGCCAAAGAAAGCCAGTTTCAAAAAATCACTGAATAGTTTGGGTTGGAAAGGACTTTAAAGATCATCTAGTTCCAACCTCCCTGCCATAGGCACATACATGTCCCATTAGACCAGGTTACTCAAAGCCCCATTCAATCTGGCCTTGAACACTTCCAGAGATGGGGCATTCCCAACTTCTCTGGGCAAGCTATTCTGGGGATTTACCAACCTTTTCCTTACTTCCTTAACCTAAATCTACTCTCTTTCAGTTTAAAGTCATTCCCCCTTGTCCTATCACTACACGTTCTTGTGAAATGTCCCTCTCCAGATTATTTGTAGGCTCCCTTGCGGTACTGAAAGGCTGCAGCAAAATCTCCCTAGAGCCATCCCTTCTCCAGGGTGAACAATCTCAGTTCTCAGTCTGTCTTCATAGCAAAGGTGCTCCAGCACTCTGATGATATTTGCAATGCACCTCTGGAGTAGCTCCAACAGGTTCACATCCTTCTTATGTTGGGAGTCTCAGAGCTGGATGCAGCACTGCAGGTGGGGTCTCACAAGAACAGAGCAGGGTTGGAGAATCACCTCCCAATTTTCAGCAAAACACTAAAGCACATTTCTCTCAAGTATGTAAGCAAGTATGTAAGTCTTTACTTGCATGCTTTCCACAGCAGGCCAAGAAAGAAGAAATTTCAATTAAATAATAAATATGGCCAGCACTTCACAAGGTGATCTTCCCAACATTTCTACAAATAACAGAAGCAGAGATAACCCTAAGAAAAAAAGGATGGCAAAGATGGAAGAAGAAAGTTTACCAAATTATCTAACAGTAAGGTGTCTACATGAACATTTTACCACATATAAGAACAATAATGAAACTCCTACCACATTCTCTGAACAATGTGGGTTTTTTTCTAAGATAGCAATACTTCTTCTGAGTCAATACAATAATCACTCAGGAATATGTCTGACTTCTTGGTGAGCATTGTTCAATTCTGATAATGGTATTTAAGTCTAACATGGTAATAATACGGTGAATGATTAATGGTTGGAAAAAACTATCAAGAGTTGTATGCTGCAATAATGGAGCAAAAGATATGAAAAATTTAAGCAGAGAGAGTAAAATATTTACTTTACACATACCTTCAAAAATATTGTTTTCAACTCAGCTGGATCAGCTCTTTTGGTTAGAGCCACCTACAAGTAAATACAATTACATTAATATGCATAGCTTACACAAAAGGTGTCAAAGTGTCATTTAAAAACAAGAACACAAACAACAGAATGAGTGATGAAAATAAATGTTCACCTTAGATAAATTAGGTATTGCTTTAGTTGGCCATGCTCATTTTATCCATTTCACACTTACATAAGGTTATTCAACATTTTTGTTCTGCTTTCGTTATGCAATCCTGCAACTCTTAAACAAGCACACATTAACAAGTCATAAAGACATTCAAGAATCGCGTCTCTATAGCATACCTCTCTGCAGGGATTCAGCATTATACTCTCTTTACCACAGATTTTTACACTTACAGCACCTTTCACCTAAAGATTTCAGAGTACCACACACAGTCCATAAGTGATAAATTGCAAGAATTACTCACAAATCTGTTCAAGAAAGTGGCTCCATAAAAAACTGAATTTCAATGTAACTATTTGGTTTATTACACCATTATAAACTTACAGTGTAGATCTTTTTAAAGAGATTAATACAGAAAGCAGTATCTAGAATATCTAGATTTTTCTGCAGATCAAATTAGCAAGTTCAAACCAAAATCTAAGTTACATAAATTTATCGCCACAAGTCCAAAATAGATTTTTTTTCAAAACACTGAATCAAAAAATAGTCAACTCATTATGGAGTAAGTCCATCAGTATTATCCTGGTTGATATACCATACAATCCTTTTGCTGCTTTTGGCAGTAAGTGGATGTGTCCCCTCAGTCTGTGCCTCTATAGCTCCCCTTTCCTTCTTTAGGATACCTTGATAAATCTTGCTTGCTAACATAATAACTCTCATCTGACAAGTCAATTCAGAACATCAATATATTCCAAATTTTAAAAAACAAATCCTTTGCAAGCAAAACAGATTTTCAAAAAAAAAAAAAAAAAAAAAGTGACAGGGAGCAGCCAAAGGACAAGACACACAATCTTACCCTCACTTAAGAATTAAACATCAGAATAGAGAACTATTTCCTTTCCTAACTCTTTATAGCAATGGTAGACTGTAAAGGCAAATGTGACTACAATGCACTTCTAGAAGCATACTGGCCTACTGCAGAAAATGGAAGGAGTCTGTGTAAGTCTGTACAACAGCATTATATCCTCACATGTACACTTAATGATGAATCTTCAGTAAGTTTGTCCTCACCCTAGATGGTTGATTTAAGAACTAAAAAAAGACAACAAAAACCCCCAAAAAATATGCAAAAAACCCAAAAACCAAACCAAAAACCCAGAGTATTTTAAGAAAAATTTATGATTAAGATTTCTATTAAAATTCTAGAAGTTCTTTAAAAGGGAAGAACCACACCTATGCTCAACTGACAAAGTCCACAGCTGGAGTCCCAATCCTGTGTCTACACAGAAATCTATGGGAAAGTATTGCAAGAAATCAAAGTGTAATTGTGAAGCTAAGAATATAAAAATGTATGTTTTCTAAAATGCAAGCTGTCCTAAATGTAATCACTATGAGCAGAGAATTAATTTAACCCGTCTGTAAAAATCTGATAGTCTAGAGCACTTAGGAACTCTGTGAAAAGAAAAAAATAGCACTATTTCTATGCTGCTTCAATCCAGAACCTTGCCACTATAGAAGCAAAGGAAAGACACTTCAAACATCTTTAGCCAGCAAATATAAATCAGTATCATATTTTATCCACCTTAAAATTCAAATTTTATACTGTCAGAGAAAGCTAAGCCTAAAGAAACCAAGGGAGAAAAGAAAGGAAAAGATACATGAACTCACACTATTTTCCTTTAGTTTCATTGCTATTAACAATTCTGAGAAACTTGGGAGATGTGCTCACAGGTCAGCCACCATTTTTCAGCCCCCTTTTGATTACAGGAGAATTTGAGTGGGGCTTTTTACTGTCAATACTGAAAGATAGGTTGAAGTTGGTTAAGTCAATGAATGCACAGAAGAACTGCAGACTAACAGCCCAAGCAGTGGATGCATACCACAACTTTTCTCCATTTCCCACAGTCTACTTCCTCATTCTTCCATTCCCCAACATACAGGAAAGGCATAGTTAACACCGTGTTAATTGGTGCATCCATGTGACATCTACCAATGTGCTTTCTGAAAGGTGTACCTGATTCCAATTGGAAGAAAAGAGCCTCTATTATATTACATGAGAACTTCAGGAAGACTGATGCTAATGCAGCCATACCAGTGGCTAAGGGAAGTATTTAACTCAGGCTTTCATCCATACCCAGCTATAGGCAAGGCTGAAGCTGCATACACAGCCATAAAAACTGATCCTGATGACAGGTGTTACTAGAAGATTCCCACTCTAGAAAAGGTCAAAATATTACTTTCCATACCATTCTGTAAATTGTTATGTCAACAGTTGAAAGGCTAAGTAACCTGATGCCAACAGGACTGCAAGCTGACATGTAGCATGCTTGATGAAAAGTGACCCACAGATGAAAGCTGTTTCTCCATCAGTCAGCTCAGGTGATATTGCTGACTCTCACATAACTGGGTTCAGGTGATATGTTTCGTTACTGGAAAGACTTGTCCATCTTTTCTCCACAAAGATAAAACCAGCTATGAGCTGGCAGGCCTAATACCTCTAAGGTGGCATGAGAAGGCATTTGACAAAGGAGATCTGAGTGAAATAATGTTGTCACTGCTCTTTACAAAGAAATACTATGTAACAGACACACTTAAAATAAAACAGCAACTTCTATTAAGTAAGGCTCAGTGAAGAAAGCCCTCCAACAAACAATATTTATTATTAAAAAACCCAGGAGACAACAGAGTACATCAACTGAAGTGCAGGACTATAATCAAGTTAGAACACTCTACAGGGAAGACTGGGATAATGTATAGAAAATATCAGCAGGGATTTTCATTCCTAAGGTATACATCTGAAAGTCTTTAGCAACATACTGTGTGTACACGTGTGTTATAATATATATGAAGAATGAGACAGAACAGGCAATATAAGAACTGCACTTGAAAATGCTGAGTCCTTCCCATTAGCAGTAACATTCAACAAAGGGTGCACAGAGAAAGGGAAAGCTCTGTGACAGTAACACAGACTGATTTGCATGCTGGAGCTCGTCATATCTTTAGACTCCCTTGCACCTTGACCTTAATTTCAGCCCATTTTCTCCAGCAGACCTTTATTCTCCTTATTGACTTATGCTCAATTTACAGAGACATGCATTTTCAGTCTAACTTCAATACTCAAAATTAAATGCAGACTTTTTCCATTAAAATATAACTGTACTGTAGGAACCCCGGCCTGGTTCAGGGGTTCCGTGTGGTGGTAAAGTCTCTCCTCCAACCCGTGCTTCCAAAGAAAAGCTCAGCAGCCTCTTGTTGTTCGGTCTCAAGGCAGTTTATTGTAAGCTATCTAAAAGATTGTCTTCTTGGGCTGCTGTGGTTTGGTCAGCAGCTCAGGCAGAGGCACACACACCCCTCTCTGTCTGCGTCTTCTTCTTCTCTCCCCCCGCCCAGGGCTGGTGCTATCTTTCATATGACACATTACGTGTTACACGTTTACAGTTTTTCCCCAATACCTACTACCTGTAAAAAATGGTGCTTTTCTACTGTAAACCAATCTGTAAGCGCCAACATCATCAAGAACATGGAGGTAAGGAAGAAGAAAGAGGAGGAACAGGACCGGCCTACATTCCTCTATCTTAAAACTTCTGACCCCCATGTACAAAGTAAAAACCCCCCTGTCCAGGTGTTAAACCCCCCCTGTACAATACTAAAAAATTCTCCCCTCTATTTTGTTACTACTTCTACTATAAAAATTAAACTTTTGTGACTGCTTGTTCCACCTTCAAAGTTGGTAACTCATTCCAACTCAAAGTTTGGCTCAAACTCAAAGTCACAGCTGTTTCCAGCTGCCTGCCAGGGTCTAAAATGCTTCTGACCAGAGCCTGGAACCTCCAAAAATGTCTGAGGGACATTTTGAGTTCCAACACTGTACAACACAAGAAAACAAAATCCATTGAGACTCAAAGATTATATTACATTCCCAACCAACTGTATTAATATATTTGTTATACACAAGGTAGAAGAAACAGGTTGTGAAAGATTGCATGGTATCAAAAGACACAGAAAGACTAATAACACAGTGTGCTCCATCCAGTAAAGAACAACAACATGGATGGACAAGAAAGAAAAAGAGCAGTAGGAAAATTGTTATTAATGTCAACATAACATTAATCTAATGGCAAAAAAATAATATCTCATCTTCTCACCTTTACAGCAAAGATCACTTTGATAGCCACAGTCTGAATAGAGAAGAAAGGTGATTATGATCCAGGAATACTTGGGAATTCCAGAAAGTTTATTGCAACAACAGCAAGTCCTAACCAAAGATAAAGAGATAAACACCTCATACCCTTTCTTTCTTTTCGTTTAGTCCAAATACAACTCAGATGTGAAGGAAAAAGAGGTAAGGTTGCCCTCCTACACCTCAGTATCTTTAAAACCACCTAAAACCACCTAAGCAGGTAAGATGCTGAACAGCTGTCCTTCTCCAAGCAGAGAGCCAGAGCTGTGGCAGGACTGACAATGGTGAGCTCACTCTTTAGTTCTAGAGAACACCATCTAACAGACACACACAGAGAAAAGATGTCTGATGAAAGGCTCAACAAGTGATCACAAGCTCTTGTAACTTGTGTTGAGATTAAGATTATTTTTCAGAAGTTCATCCATTCTTAAACACAACTAAAGAATGCAATGTACTTCATACCACTAAAAGACCTCAAATTAAAATTGAAACCTTATGTCTTGTAGGGGTATTCTTTCGTTTCATCACAAGTTATTGAGTCCACCTGTAAGACTCAAACACATGTGGCCCAGTTTATGTAAGAGGTCAGATTAGATCATCGTAATGTTTCCTTCTGGCTAAAAGTATACATATACACTTCAAATGTGCAACTCCAAAGGAGATCAAACTGGGGTTTGACCTTACATTCTTGTTTAAATGACTGACTGGAATATC